ACATTTTGGATTTGATGCAGTAAATACGACACAGAATCTGATTTAAGAACGTCGGTTTATAGGTCGCTATAGTCGGTATCCAGTACCCTCTTAAGCTGAAAATACTCATAACACGTTATATGTTATCGGCAAAATTGTATATTTGCGTGACTCTCCCGACGAACAAGGTGTGAAAAATATTTTGCTTTTCATATTTAATGTACTTGCTGTCTAGTGACGAGTCAAACCGAAACAAGGCAACAGAGATGACGATGAAGCGTTTAATACTGAGAAGAAGAAGCCTCGTTGAGAAGACGCCTGAGAGATCGCGCGCTTTATATTTGATTAACTATGTCTTATTGTAACTTTATATATTTTTGCATTATTAAATACAAAATTTTTAACTTTAATATAACTACATAATTATTCGGAAAATTTACTTCAAAAGACTTAAAAAAAAAACTTTATAAAAACTTCAAGTTTACTTAGAAGTAAATTGGAACAAGTTTACTTCAATGAGTAAGTTTACTTCAAACTAAATAACTTAAAGTAACTTTTTAGTTACTATTGAAGTTAACTTAAAATTTTTCTTTGAGTTTACTTGAAGTTAACTTGAAATTTTTCTTGAACATTATTTAATTTTTTAAAAGATTCTTTGGGTTTGACATTGTAGTTAGTAGGCCATTTTGCTCTCATTTTTGTGAAACGCTTTGCAACTTAAAATCTAAAGAAAGATTATATCTAGAATCTAAGTGGAATTCCTTACTAAATGAAAACAAGTACTAATGGCATATCTTCTTTGGGGGGGGGGGGAATTAATTCAAGATTTCACTCAATTTAACCTTTGAATGCCCGATTCATCTCGCCGATTGACCGATGAACTCCGGTGTAAAGGACCAAACCTGAAAAAACCCTAAGCGTAATGGTGGGATTTGAACTCGAGACCTCTATATTCCCAGNCCCTACNCTCCGTCCGCGANACCACTNGTTTCTTAATAAATCGTAANTATTTTTATCAACTTAATCTCAAGCTATCTTAAACATTTCGATTAATATTTATTTAAATTATTATTTTAAAATTATTGCAGTGCAATATGGATACCCTGCAAAAATATTTTTCTTATTATTGTTGATTTAAAATACATTTTTACGACGCGAACAAATTTTTTGTTGATATATTTGCTGATTATACTGTTCAACATAGTTTTGGGACCTCAATATACAAAGTGTTTTCTAATAATATTTGGTCGCTGAAAACGAATCCGGTGGCGAAATTAACTTACTACCTGCTATCATGTTAGATTTCCGAAAAACTTGAGGTTAAATGTGCCAAAATTGGCATTTTTGGCCATAGTTAGCAGTTTTTGCGACAAACTAAATGTTTTTTTTTCAATTTTACTCACGCCACATTAAAGTGCTATCTTTTATCTATAATATGAATTTATATTTTTTTAGTACGCTACGTTTTTTATATACATAATTACCATATTATAAATCATTAAATTGAATATAAATAAGATTTTTGTTAGACAAGAACGTAGTCACGCACTTTGGCATGTTACTTATCTCATGAAATTGTTTATTTCTTACTATTTTAATTCAAATACACTTATATTTCATACATTTATAAGTAGTATCAATTTATACAACTGATTTCTAATATGGTATTTATGTGTGTGTTTAGAAAAAAATTGTGCCCTAATAAATTCATATTATAGATGAAAGATAACAGATGTGGTGTAAATAATATTACCAATTTACTTTGACGACAAAATAATAGTAATAATATAACCAAAAACGCCAATTTTGGCACATTATCTTACTAGCAAACAAACTTTCAAGTAAACTTGTAAGTCTTCTGAAAGCTATGAGCAGCTTAGATTACCAGCAATATTTGATATATATATGTATATATATCAAATATTTGAAGAGCAACTTTGAAGAAACTTCAAGTTAACTTGATGGAATCAAAGTAAACTTCAAGAAAACTTGAAGTTTTATACATTACTTAGAAACCTTCATTAAAAAACTTTGGGAGCATTAAAAAAAACTTCAAGTTAACTTAATAGAATAAAAGTAAACTTTAAGTAAACTTAATGAACTCAAAGTAAACTTCAAGTATACTATAGGATTTTTAAGTTACTTTAAAAAATCGTGAAGTAAATTTTCTTAAGGGAAGAAGCGCGATTTCTCTCTCAAAACACTTTATTACCACTCAGAATACAAACGATATCAGAATACAAATTATATCAGGACGAATCGTCGAAGCGCGACGTGACAGCTCTTTGTTGCAATTTTTCTTCAACAAATTCGCGAGTCGCCCGGCAACAAACAGTCGCGCCGAGCGCGCGCCGTTCACGCGGCTCTCGCAACACATACGCGGTGACCGCCGCGTAACAATATATATACATAGATTAAGATTCTTCTAGGTTTTGGATAACTTAAAGCTTACTTTTATTTTTGTAAGTCAACTAAGATTCTTTTGATTTTTGGAAAATTTGAAGTTTATAACTAAGAATCTTAGTTAACTTACAAAACTTTAAGTTAACTTAATAGAATCAAAGTAAACTTAATAAAATTAAAGTATAACTTCAAGTATACTATAGGATTTTGAAGTTATTTTAAAAAATCTTGAAATAAGTTTTCCCCCCTAAAGGCTGTGTTTGCAAATTACAGTTTGAATATTTTCAAAATTTATTATTGTATTATTATGTTGAAAACATGACGGTTCAGCATCTTCTTAGGAATAAGTAAAAAAAAAACAAAACAGTCTTTCTATTCTACACCAAAAACTATAATATTAGATAAGAAAAACGCCAAATTTTATAGAGATACTTTGTATCTCTTTAGACAACTTTGTTATCTTTATTACGCAACTAACCGGAAAAATAATATAATAAAGAAAATTTTTTAAATTAAATAACGCTCGAGCTTCAAACAATAAAAATGCGTTTACATATTGCTCTATTATGCTCTTGTTAAGACGGTACCCGGGGCGGATCGCCCCTCTCGCTTCTCTTCCTTACTATGCTACTGGTTTGAATTGTGTATATTATTTTATTTCATGATTGTTACATTATTATTTTTTATGATAGTACATTATTATTTGTGTAAGCTAATCGCAGGCGTTACATTTTGAATAAAAATGTAAAATATATAATATAATGCATTTGCTCGTCTTAGTGGCGTTAAGTAGGTGTAAGAGGTGTTTAAAGCTCCAAAAACGGAAATAGTTTTTGAATAAAATTGTATTTAATATATAATTTATTGTAATTTACAATTATATAAAATTAACGTTTTTGGATTTGTCATTTTGAATTTTAAAATGGTAATATCACAGTTGTAATCAGCGACTTAAAAACCTAATATTGATACGCGTAATTTCACAATTTTATACAAAATTAACTTTAGACGGACTTTCGGCCGTTTATTTGGCTCTTCTGGCTCTCTGTGCGATAGAGCAAAGTGTAAGTTTCGGCACCGGCAAGCGCCTATCATATTTAAAAACAGTATAGGACGCAGTAAACAGTGATTCGAATTTCATCTAAAAAACTGTAGTTTCAATGAACTCAGAAAATTTGGTCTTTCAGATTAGAGGTTGGACATATGGCTAGCAATTGTACCTCGTAAAAAAGCGCATGCTATATGAAAATAATATAAAATGAATTTCAAGATAAATTATTGATAAAGTCAAAGCCAATCTCGAGCTGTGCTGGAAAAAAAGAAAAAGGAAGACGCATTGAACTCAATAATAGTATCACAAATTGTTAAAAAAACGTACAATTGCTATTCTCGAAAATTTAATTTATCACTTTAGAAAGAAAAAGTGTTACCATAACACTTTGCGTAGGAATGTCTATGCTTACTCTCTTATACATGGCAAATTTATTATATCTATAAAAGACTTATCATTTTAGCAAGACAAAAACTGTAACTAATCTGATATCTTTTGTTTAACTTAATGTAGTAACCTTTTTTTTATGAGGTGAAATGCCCGCGCATATCTTGACCCCTAGAGAAAGGTCAAGGTAGTGTCCCGGTAAAAAATTTTTTATATATACTTATACACAAATTAATATAATTATATCTAATTATGCAAATTTATATGCCGAATATGTCCATACAATTTTATACACGGAGAATTTCTTTTTTAAGAGAATGGCTTCAGAGATATTCCATATCAAATTAAAAAATAACTCTATTAGTATCATGTTAGATACAAAAAATTATATAAAACTAGATTTTTACTATATTTTTAAAAAAGTTTTGATATATAATCATATATACTAGCATACACAAATTAAAATTATTATATCTAATTATGCACATTTATATACCAAATATGCCCATACAATTTTATACATGAAAAATTTTTTACCGGGATGGAACCCGAACCCATTAAAACTCTTTGGTGGTCGCCAGCACGATGTGAAGAAAGGCCTGGAAAGCTTAAGTAATATCGTAACCTAATTTAACATAATCTTTTTTATACCTTTTCTTTTCTCTTTAAAATTTGGTTAGATTTGATTGGATTAGATTAGATATCAAGAAATATATCTATTTGAGGATATTTATTTGAAAGTATTGTATAAGTATTTTTACCAAGTTTTATGAAAAAAACATAAATCGTTTTTAAAAATATATTTAATTCATCTCTTATAAATTTTAACTTATATTCATTAGATAATAAGTTCTTAAATAAAGATAATTAGATAATAATTCTTTTACTAAATTATGAGCAACGATTACAACGTATGAAGTGCTAAACGTATATATAGAATATACTTAATACAATAATTTCTTGATTATAAGTATATGTCAAGATCAAAGCAAATCTACAATGATGTAGTTTTTATGTAGAATTAGCAAAAATTTATTGACATTTAATTTTTTTGATGATGTTAATATTTAAAATTAGGAAATTGGGCAGGAAAAAGATGAATTTTGCAATGAAGAGAGAATAATATATATATACTGCAATGTTATTGTAAATATCATTTATTGGACTCTTAGGCGTCATTGGATACAACGATTACACCACGTTGCTTATTTGTAACACCTTAGCAATCTGAAAAAAAGTCGGATTTGTCAAGTAGACTAAAATCAACGAAGACATCAGGTGTTGGTTAATCTCATACCATAGTTAAGAGTATCGACTACGATTGCGCGTATAAATAAAGGACCATATCGGCAATAAAAGTTATCGTAGCCGCGTCGGTACATCTCTGAAGTACAAATTCTATTCTTACAAAAATTAGGAACCACCAAACATACAAAAAAGTTACGTTGATTAACACTCGAAAGTAGAAACGAGACACTACGCTGCGCTGTTTTTTTTTCCATCCAATCATCGTACTAACTAAAATGTAGCAAAGGAACAATTTCAATGTTTCTCACGATGAGCTACAACTAGATTCAATTTAGGACGTTCCATAGGACACAATGTATTTTATTGTAATCGGTTGTTCGTTGAAAAGTCCTTAACTTAGAGCGCTACCGCTTTGCCTTCTCTCTCTCTCTCTCTNCCTTCTCTCTCTCTCTCTCTTTCTCTCTCTCTCTCTCTCTCTTTCTCTCTCTCTCTCTCTCTCTCTCTCTTTCTCTCTGTCCGATTCTTTCTCAACGAAACGAGTGTTTACGATCGTGCGAACGAGATTTTGGAGGGGGAAAAGCAAATGAGAACTTATAGCTAAATAAAACTTTATAAAAATATATCAACGAATAATAAATATATCTCTAACAGCTGTATAATTCGTCGTGTACGGGCGATAGCCTACGCATTTACAATCACTATGTACACGCTATCAAACTCTACTTATCTAAGTAATATACAACAATTTATTTTGTTTTAGTCGCCCTATCATCAAGAATATTTAACGTTGCACAAATAAGTTTCTCTCATTCAAGTAGAACGTATTCTCTCGTATACTTTCGTTCTGCGAGTACGAAAGATTCGTGTAAGACTTTTAAAATTGCAACTATTTTCTTTGTATCGCATCGTTCCGTTCACTCAATTATTATTTCATTATTTTATAATTTAATAATAATATTTATTATTATTATTACGGTTAGCACCGCATCATGTGTTCGCTTCTCAAAACAATGATTGCAGCATAAAAGTCGATCCATTCGAACTTCTCTGTCACGAGAATTGGGCAAAACTGTATTTTTTTTGTTCTGTCGTTCGCGAACTGCTCGCAAGTGTCAAACAAGAAAAAAAGAAAAAAAATTGGTCTCCGTGTTTTTTTTTCTTTCTGATCCCACTACGTGCGCGAACACCGTTGAACAATTCACAAATGGACTTATTTTATTACCTATACAAATATATACACACACATGTCGTATCGCGCAATGCAGTTCAGCGCACGTGAATTCGTATAGTTTACAAATTTGTTTTCTTTCTATATAATGTATATATCGCCCGCGCGATCTCTTTCTTTCCGTCGCTATCCTCGTATAAGGCCAGAAAATCGAATTTTAACCGATCACATTTGGGAGTTGTTCGCGCAAGCTCGTCTGTAAGATTTTATACACGACGACGGCAACGACGACAGCAACCGACGCTCAATTCGATCGCGATCGCGCATTCACGCACAAACGCTTTTTCCTCTAAATCTATTATTTAGGACAAGAGAAACTTGCTATGAGATTCAAGGAACACCAAGGCCGTCAAATAATCTGCGCGCGCCGAAAACGCGTCAGCTCCCACTCGAATTTTCATTGTGTTTGCAATAACAACGCCGAAGATATGCGAGTATTGCACGCAACGCGTTGGACAAACGTGCATCTCGCCGAGCAAACGCAAGAATCGCGCGGGAAAAATTCTTCGGGAGAGGATTTCGACACTATGTACAACAAAGCAGCCTTCTCCCTCTTTTCATCTTCCCTCATCGATAAAGCTGACAACACTCGTGCGTTTCGCGTCGCTGCCGGGAGTTTCGTCGAGATTTCTTCCGCCCGAATACGCATTCTCGGATCGTCTCAGCGACGGCGCTCCTGCAAAATTGCCTGTAAAATCAGGCAGAGCAGAAGGTACGTGATACTCGCCGACCGAACGTGGCCGCGGCTGTATTCGGATGCGCGCGTCACATTGAGCAGAACGGAAGCGTCGGCGATCCCTTCCGGCGAGCGTACCAGCAGTAGCCACTCTCCCGCGTGAGACCACTGAATCATCTCAAAGCGCAACGTTGTTCTGTAACATGATTCCGTGCCGCCGTCCTGTAACAAAGATAAATATACAAGATCATAATTGATTTTTGTTGAAGTATAATGAATAGATGTACGGTGTGCCTCGCACAGTTCGGGCGCACTGCGCGCGCGTGAACTTGGCGCGAGGCACTACCGTGCCTCTTGATATAGTCATTCGCAGTGTCATTTGATATTGAGAAGGAAGTCAGTTTAATGACAATTAGATAAATTTAATACAGATTTAACTATTGAAAATAACATGCCTACGTTGCCGAACGTTTACTAAAACTTCTCGCAGCAAACTAACAGACCATGAACTCGACAAAAGTAAAAAGAAAAGTATGATCTTACTAGATGTCGCGCATAACTAATAACTATAAATGACACTGGAGCGCTCTAAATTCAACAATGTTTTATCCTGCGAATTCTACGCGTTCTATTTAAGATCAAAGTCACAATTTCAGAAAAAGAAAGAGAGAAAGATAGATAGATGAGAGAGAGAGTGAGAGAGAGAAAGAGGGAGAGAGGAAGAGAGGGGGAGAGGGGGAGAGAGAGAGAGAGAGCTGCTTTTGTTTCAGTATACAGAGTGTCCGACAATTGGTTTAATATCTTTTGTAGGCAGATAGAAGAAATAAAACTGATTGTGAGTCAAAAAGTCCTATACCATCTTGTGAGATTTGCAATTGTTATCGAAATCTTAATTAACAAAGATCAGCGAATAGCATGCATTTTACGCGCGTAAGATAACCCGGCGCGCTTCGCGCACTTACGGTATTACTCATAGCAACATATGGGAAAAGCTAATATGTATATAACAGTGTATACTATATACATATATGTATATAATAAAAAATAACTGCGCAATGCATACTTATTCGCGGATCGTTGTTAATTAAAATCTCGGTAACTATTGCAAATCTCGCAAACTGGTATAGGACTTTTCGACTCAGTATTACTTCTTCTTGCCTACGAGAGATATTGAACCAATTGTCGGACACCCTGTATAATAAGAAAGAAAACGAGAAATAAACGAAAAAAAATATATTATTCGAGAACGTCTCTTTCGAAATTTTTGTAACATAACTTACAGTATCAGATCAGCTGGTTATTAATATGATCTAAAATTTGTTTGAAATTATAATTTTATTATAGAAAAATATAGATATTGCAGGATTATATATAACATATAGTATAAAAAAATACATTACATCTTGAAATAAAAATCATCTTCACATGTTTGCACAACATCCGTGTCTTGCTTCAACTGCCACTCACCTTGATTTTTAAAATCTTTGGAGCTATTTGTCTTTTCTTTAAATTATAACATAAAGTATATTTAAATTATTTGCGCCGTTAAAGTCGAAACCAAGAACAATCGTGTTATTTTCGTGTCTAACTTCTCAAATCCATAATTTACTAAGCACGACACTTTTACAGTCGTTGTATGTTTCTAACTGAAAATGGCCTCTCTGAAAGTTAAGTAAAATTCTTACCCGCGCGCAGCCGACAGTACGAACTCACTTGATGTTGACCCGTATCAAGCTGTTTTTTTCCGCGAAAGAAAATGCGATGTTAGGCGAATCTCAGTTTAGAAAGAATTTCGAAAGTTTACTTTTAACAAAAGAGAATTTGAGCCTACTCAAATAACGACGAAGACACCTATTCGCAAAAGGAACAAAGAATCTCTTGCAACAAATATCTATAAGAAATGTTTCTTTATGATGCTTTTATGGCGTTCCAAACACCCGCGCGGGTTACGCTCACGGACCGCGACGTTTTTATCGCGTAATGCTCGTTAACTCGCGATTCAATAATGTCTATTTAATCGTACGAAGTCGTTCCTTTTATCGAGAGCAAAGTCCTAGCTCTTTACGATTAAACTTTTACGTAAAACTTCCGGAGAAACCTGAGAACTTCCGGCGCGTCGTGTCCTACGTTTTTTGCTTCAATTATCCGTCTTACCTTCGACTGCTTCGTCGCGGATTGCTCCACCCACTCGATCTCTTTTCATCTCCCTTCAAATGCGTTTTATTACTTTCCGCATTAGTACCTATAATGACTCGTCTTTTTCCCAAGCTTCTTTCCTTTATTCATGGAAAAATCAATCGCATTAAGCCGGTCGCAGATCCGACAAACTTCCGGTTTAAGGGATAATTTACCTTAATAGAATAGCAGTATATGGTTTTTATACTGAACAAAAAAAAAGCAAACAAAGTTTCCTCTTGAGAAATGACTCGATTTTCAGATGCTTCTTTTGTCGTTTTATCTTGATTTGATATTAATTAAAAAATTTGAAAATATTTAACACATAAAAATTGTTTTGTTCTTATAATCTCTACACTAAAAATGTACTCAGAAACATACTATTTCTTACAGTAAATTTATCTTAATGTCACTTTAATATAAATTTCTCGCTAATAGAAAGAGAAGGAATATAATTCATATTAATCAAAATAAAAAAGGTTAATCTCGAGCATGGACAAGTTCCAATTAGTATATTGAAACAATAAAACAAGAAATCATACATAAATTGTAAAACGTTTCAAGCTCTACTAGAGTCTTTCTCGATCGGAAAAGAGTTATAAATATTCAAACATGTTTTTCGAGTTTGAACTGCGTTTGAATGTTAATACAACACCGCAAAAGCATCAAAAATATCAAAATTATAAATCATAATACAATAATATGATTCAAGAAGCAGTCACAAAAATAAAATAGTAATGCGCGTAATTTTATTAGTAATATTAATATTTAAAAACTTAATAATCAATTATTCACGTCAATCCCAAGACGCGCACTCTTATCTTGATGTCCGGAAAGGTGTATACTAAATTTTTTAGAACAAACCGAATCAAAATATCATCATTTAAGTCGTCCGAGGCAGATAAAATAAAATAATTTTTATGTAGATGATAGTCTGTAATTATGAAACACGGAATACATAGTCAAAAATCGACGCGCAAAATTAAAAGACCATGGAGTATAAGCACTTATTTATCAGATAAAAAACAAGCAATCAAATGCTGATATCAGGATAAGAGGCAAAACTTTATATCCCCTCTAAAAAGTGTTGTCAATGGGAATAAGACTTTCAGTTAAATTCAAATCAAAGATGTTTCATCTTATTTAGTAAATTAAAATATAAATTGTCAAGAATATATCTATATCATTAATTAAATTTAAACTATGTCTGCTTTTGTATATAAATCATTTCAGAAATCAATCTTTTATAATACAATAATTCAGTTTATAATATATAATTTCAATAAATTCAAACTAAATGTTAATTAATATGAATATGATTTAATTAATAATTCGGTTTATGATAGTAGATTTCAATAAATTCAAACTTAAACGATGATCTTTTGATTCGGTTTGTTCTAAAAAATTTAGTGTACACATTTCCGGATATCAAGATAAGAGTGCGCGCCTTGGAATTGACGTAAATAATTGATTATTAAGTGTTTAAATATTAATATTACTAATATTACCCGCATAAATATTCTATTTTTGTGACTGCTTCTTGAATCATATTATTGTATTGTGATTTATTTATAATTCTTTTATGATCGAGAAAGACTCCAGTAAGAGCTTGAGACGTTTTGTTTTACAATTTATGTATATGATTTCTTGTTTTATTATTTCAATATACTAATTAGAATTTGTCCATGCTCGAGATTGACCTTTTTCATTTTGATTTATGTTTACAAAACGAGCGTCTTTTTTTATTTTTATGATTTATATTATATGTTGACGTAAAATTTTGCGGCGATAAGCACATACTTGATGTTTTGTTTGCTATTATAAAATTGAAATGCAGTTGTAATGTCACGTGATACTTTTTTTGCCTTCGATCTTATTCCGAGACGTTGCCGAAAATACGGCACAACTTTATAAAAGATCTTCTTGCCATTCCGATCACACGCGGAGCCGGGCCCGGTCGAGAATATACGCGAACATGTCATTGTGTTCTTTTAATATCGAGGCAACGGAGACATTTTTTTTTTGCATTCATTTTACTGGTAACGCGACCGAGAGAGATCGAAGAGAAAATACATTTACGTAATTGAATCGGGCTCGTGCTGTTCAACGGCGAGACTAGTGTCGTCTCTCGGTGATATTTTGTTGCCGCGATTTGAAGCAGACATCGTCGTCGCAAAGATCTCGCGAGTTTTTCGCGTGTAAGGAGTCGCATTTTCTTGCTCCATTTAACTCTGGCGCTGCACCCACTCCTTTTCTGTACTACACTCCTGACCTCCACCTTTTTCGGAGGCTCGAGCGCTTCTATCACCCCTTTCTTGGATTCTTCTTATATTCTTTATTCACGAGTTTTACCTGGATTCCTCTCCCCACTTTGATCTTCCTCGTCTCGCTCAATACGTTTTCCGTCGATTCTCTTCTCCGATGCAACTCGCCTTCCTTTTCTTGTCACGTTTCCATCTCATTCTATCTTCTCTGCACTTTTCCATTCCTGCCTTTTTTTTACTATGCTATCATCTCTCGGCTCTTTGCTCTCGTCTCTTCTTTTTATCTTTCTCTCGCATCCTCTTCTTCCGTCTAGTTTGTTCAAACTTTCTCCGCTAACGCATTCTAACTTTCCAACTTCCGTTTTTTCTTTACTTCTCTCTGTCGTACTATCTCGTCGTTTGTTGCTCAGTATTCCTTTGCTAACGTATTCTACTTTGCCAGTCCGAGCTTTTTTCTGTTGAGGTTTTTCTCACGCACGCCATTTTCTCTCTCTATCTTCTATTAACCTATTCTCTTCGTGAACTTCCGCGCTCTGTTCCCGTTGTTTTTTTGGGGGCTTCTCCGGTTCTTTTCGCGTTTTGCTATCTGTTAACACATTTGAGACTTCTCTTGACTTCTCTTCCGTCGCTGTCTCTTCTGGAGTTTTCAAATATATATTTTGGCTTTTGTGTCTCTAGTAATAATATGTGTGACTTATCTCGTAGTTTAAGATTTCGAAATATATAAATATCACAATACAATCATGTAGATATTAACATTTAATATGTGATAAAAAAAAACGT